TGGCAACCCAATTAGGCCAGTGCTGCCTCATCAAATGAGTTTGCAACTCACTTGTTGCCACAGCAAGTATATTACATCAGCCAATGGGGCACAATGGGCCAAAGATGCCACTGCCAATATATCAGTGGATATCAGTGACTTGTGGTGAGGTTTATGGCTGGTGAGGCAGTCCTCTCCCCCGACACCCCACTGACTAAAGCATTTTCTTTCGCCCTCCTGAGCCTAAGCATTTTCTTCCGCCCGCCTGTGCTTGCGGCAGAGCTCAGGCGGGCTGCCGCGAGCTCAGGCGGGTGAAAGAAAGGGCTTTAGTCAGTGGGGAGACGGGGGAGAGGACTGCCTCACCAGCCATAAACCTCACCACAAGTCACTGATATCCACTGATATATTGGCAGTGGCAGCTTTGGCCCATTGTGCCCCATGGGCTGATGTAATATACTTGCTGTGGCAACAAGTGAGTTGCAAACTCATTTGATGAGGCAGCACTGGCCTAATTGGGTTGCCAGTCTTGTCCCAATTTCCATGCTTTGATAAGAGAACTGTAATAATTAAGAGAGAGTAAACATTCCATAAATGATTGGTTTGCACCTATCTCCAATCTCTATTCTGCCCTGTTTTCCTTACTCCCTGTTCCAAGTGTGACGCAATGAACTACTTCCCTTTCCCAAACTTCAAAATCAGTTTGAATGTAATAAATAGTTGTCTCCTCTTCTAGTGACCTCCCAATGCTGAGGAGCAGCATAGAGCCATTGCCCCAGACAGAGCTGAAGGCCTAAAATCTTTTCACCCCTCCCCTTCCACACAAAAGAGAATAAAATAAACACCTTCCACATCCTTATTTCATGTTTTTACATTTGTCTTGTCAAATGCAAAACAACCCACCTAATTTCTGGGTGGAGATCTGCTAGATGATTGCATTGAACTGAGGAAAGTTCCTGCAAACTGAGAAAGACGCAAAACCATAACATTTAAAATAAATCTGGTTCTACTATGATTAAAAAAACAAACAGAGCTGAACAAGAAATAAATCAGCTAAGTTCTTAAATGGTGCTGAAAATACAGGAACAGTATTAAAATATGGAAACAGTATTAAAACAGTATTAAAATCAGCTCCAAACAGTTGTTTGGAGCTGATTTTAAAATGTCTCATTATCCTTGCATAAAAAAATTCTGTTTTTCTGCTTTTAACCCTGGAGGTAAAATTCTTTCACAGAGAGCTCCTTTGAGAAGCAACGTCACTTCAAAAGGGGAACTAAATTGTGAATGCTTTCCTGAAAATTCACCTGTTCTTTTTAGTAAGTTAGGTTTATATCATGTCTTTACTCCCTCTCCCATTCTCCCCAACAGCGACCCAATTTGAGAATTATGGAATAGGCAAAATAGTAAATCTTGTGCCAACTCCTAAAACTGAAGTCTAATTTAATAAACATCTTGGCCTGCTTCTACCTTCTTCTTTCTTAGTGTTAATAGTTTGAGTAGAGGAAGTCCTTGATCTATGATCATACTTGAGTCCAAAATTTCTGTTGCTAAGCAAAGTAGTTATTCAGTGAATTGTGCCCCATTTTACTTTTTTTGCCTTGGTTGTTAAGTGAATCACTGCATTTGTGAAGTGAAAATCTTGCTTCCCCCATTGAGTTTGACAAAAGCCGGATGGAAAGGTTGCAAATGGTGATCACATGACCCTAATATAGTGCAAAAGTGAACGGAATTTTGATCATGTGACCATGGGATGCTGCAAAGGTCGTAAGTATGAAACCCTGTCATAACTTTGAATGAATGGTTGTAAGTTAAGGATTATCTATATGCTTACATGATATATAAATAAATATTCTGCATCTCTCAGGAAACTGAAACAATATATGCTGGGATCAGCCAGTGTTTCACCATCTTTGCTGTATTCACTACTAGCTTCTGTCTCACTTTTTCTCTTTTCTCCCCTTCCTTTTCCTCTCCCTGTGGATGCAAATAATTTCAGCTTGCTAAATGTCTTTGTGCCTGTTATTTGCAATTGCCTGAAAAACAAAATATTGTAGGTCAGCAGCTTGTTGGCTTCGGCTGGGGTGAGGGGTAAGAGGGAAACTGGGCTTTGCAGATGGTAGGCCGGCACACACACAAACCTTGTGCGATTGGTGGGCTGGTGTGCACATGTGCAACTTAACTTATATGAGTGGCAGGCTGGTGCGCATGCACGCAAGTGCCCGCTAGCCCACTGCTTGTGCAAGTTGAGCTGCATGCTTGCATGTGTGCTCCAGTCAGCCACGCATGCCGCCCAATTCCGAATAAGCTACGGCCCATAGCGGGCTGCAGCCTGGGCATTGGGGACTCCTACAGTTCTGCAAATTGAGAAAGACGCAGAACCATAACATTTAAAATAAATCTGGTTCTACTATGATTTCAAATACATCAGAGCTGAACAAAAAATAAATCAGCTAAGTTATTAAATAGTGCTGAAAATACGGGAACAGTATTAAAACAGTATTAAAATCAGCTCCAAACAGACAAGCTGTGCCCTTTCCTTGATCTGTGTGGAACGGATGGATTGGCCTTCAATGTGCTATGAACATACTTTGCTGTTACAAGGCGTAGGAGCTGCACAAACAGTTCTTTTCTTTCGTTCTTTTTTAAAAGCACCCCTGTATATCAATATAATCTCCTCTGCCTAACTGTATGATACCATTAAAAGAAACATTTTAATTATGACTCAGTTGTTTGGTTTAAAAAAAAATAGTAAACATGTTTAGTTCTAATTACAAGGCAATAATACCACACATAATGCTACATTTTTCTTAACTTCTTTTTCACATTTTTGTATGATTGAAAATACATTTTTTTTGGTCTGTTCATGGAGACTGCCTGGACAAACCCCTGCAGTTTTCTTGGCAAAGTTTTTCAGAAGTGCTTTGCCATTATCTCCTTCCTAGGGCTGAGAGAAAGTGACTGGCCCAAGTCACCATGTCACCAAGCTGGCTTTGAGTTAAAGGGAAAACTGGATCTCCCAATGTCCCACCACTACAACAAACCAGCTCTCATTTTAAATTAAATATGTATGTGTCTTTTAATTCTGTATCAAATCAAGGGTAGGCTATGCCGATTTTCCTGGTGTATCAAAAAACACTGAATCCAGTGAATTTGTTGATTGTTAACATGCTAATAAACAGCCTGAGCTAAACAGGTTGTCCACGAATTACGTCCACAATTGAGCCCAAAATTTATGTTGCTGAGACCTTTTTAAAGTGAGTTTTGCCCCATTTTACGACCTTGGGAAAGAAATTAGTGAGCAAAACCTGAGTGAATATCGTAGCTATTGACCAGTGGTGAAATTCAAATTTTGTTACTACTGGTTCTGTGGGCGCTGCTTGGTGGGCATGGCAGGGAAAGGATACTGCAAAATCTCCCCACTCTGGGGCCAGCCAGCGGTGGTATTTGCTGGTTCTCCAAACTACTCAAAATTTCCGCTACCGGTTCTCCAGAAGCTGTCAGAACCTGCTGAATTTCACCCCTGCTATTGACCATGGAAACAGGCTAGCAGGGAGTTCTGTTCTTTCCAAGCTGTTGCAGAATTCAAGGAGCATTTTCAGCTCTTTGTTCCATCTCTCCATCTTCTTTGGAATCTCTTTTTAAAAGCCCTAGAAACTAATGAGAGGATTTTCTAGAGTTTTGCTAAGGTGGGCAGTGGGAAAGCTTTGCTCTCATGCCAAGAAAACTGGAGAAAAGCATAACAATAGTTCATTGTCAGTTTCTTGTGAATTTCTCATGAATTTCTTTAAGCTCATGCTCAGAAAAATTGGATGTGACCCTTTCCTCTTCTGCCCCCCCCCCCCCCATTCCCTTGGGTTATTCTGTTTGTTTTTCTGAAATAAAGTTGCAGGCTGAAACCAGCTGAAAATTTTGGGGCCTTTCTTTCTTTCTTTTTCTTTCTTTCTTTCTTTTTCTCATTTGCTGCCTTTAAAAACATGTTTCCTTCCACTGAAGTAACTGAGATACAACATGTCCTCAAACTTACGACCACAATTGAGTCCAACATGTTTGTTTCCTAGGTGAGACATTTGTTAAGTGAGTTTTGCCCCATTTACCATCTTTCTTGCTACGGTTGTTCAGTGAATCCCTTCAGTTGTTGAGTTAGTAGAACAATCTCGGCTTGGCTTGGCTTGTCGGAAGTGTGCAAAAGCTGATCACATGACACCAGGACACGGCAACCATCACAAACACGAACCATTTGCCAAATTTGATCATGTGGGGATGCTGCAATGGTTGTAAGTGTGAAAGATGGCCATAAGTCACTTTGTTCAGTGCCATTGTAACTTTGAACAGACACTCAATGAAACCATTGTAAATCAAGGACTACCTTTGGTGGCACAGGGGTTAGAGTGCAATTCGGCAGGCTACTTCAGCTGATCACTACCTGCCAGCAATTTGACAGATCGAATCGCACCAGGCTCAAAGATGATTCAGCCTCCCATCCTTCAGAGGTGGGTAAAATGAGGACCCAGATTGCTGGGGGCAAATGGCTGACTCTGTAAACTGCTTAAAAAGGGCTGTAAAAGCACTGTGAAGCAGTATATAAGTCTAAGTGCTATTGCCATTGTTATAGAAAAGTAATTCAGAATGTCTCCAAAATAGGGGGGCAGAAACAGTCAGGGCCAAAGGGAAGCTCTAGAGCCCTGGTGGGCCTTTAAGGCCGAGAGCCACCTCCTCCCCGACATCGTCTTTTTGTAGGTACAACTGCTTTGTACCTGGCGGAGGTCCCTGGGCTGGAGCCAGAATCGCTCCGGTCGGAATACGCTGTTCCAGATGAAGAAAGCAGCGTTAGGGTTGAGGGCAAGCGGAGGCAGCGGGCGGAGCAGGGCTGGCTTCCAACGCCTAGCCTGGGATCCGGGGCAGCCCCTTCGGGCTTAATAGACTTGTCTGCTGGCTAAGCACTCGGGAGCTGGCAGCCTGGCGAGCGAGTCTGACTGCACGCTGTAGCGGAGCCGCTGCCCCAAAAAAAAGAAAGAAAGAAAGGCCACCCCCTTTTCTCCTCTGCCGCTGCCCTTTCCCGGGACAGCCTCGCGCGTCCTCGGCCGAGGTGGAGCGAGGGAAAGCCAAGCGAGCCGGGGAGGGAGCAGGTGCCGCGGGCATCGCGCCGCTAGCAGAAGGCGGCGGCGACTGCGGCGGCTGTCCTCCTGCAAGCCGCCCGGCGGAGGAGAGAATGCCCGAGGAAGGTGAGAGCCAAGGGCGAGGGGATTCCTCGAACGCCGCCGTCCGGCGACAACGGCCCAACGGCTGCAGCAAAGCAGCTGAGCAGGAGGAAGAGGAAGGAGGCTCCGCAGAGCAAGGCGCCAGGCCCACCCGAGCTGGCTGGCCCCCGGGGGAAGATGCCCGGCTCACTGTCCTGGGGCAAGAGGGGGTCATGTTCAAGAGAAGAGCGGTGGAAGATCTGCAGCCCATTGGAGAGCCGAGGGGCTCCGAAGAAGCCCTGATGGGGGAGCTCTCCGAGATGGTACACAAGGTGGTGAAGAGCAGCAGCTGGTGGGAGAGGCACGGCGTGGATGACACCATCATTGCTCTGAACCTCTTTAGCCTACCCCTAGGTAAGGAAGGGATTCCCCACCGGACCCCCGTTGGCCCGCGTTGGGTGGGCGGGAGAGCCCCATTCACCTGGGTTTCTGTTCTGTCCATGGGGAAATCCACTCTGTCATTAAGCTGCCTACCACAAGGCGGGTCCTACTAGGAAGCGGTGGCAGGCTGTCCCATTTCCTAGAGAAGGCGAGGCGGATCAAATGTCCTGTCTCTGGTTATCACACAGAGAGGCATGTTTAAGGCAGGCTGCTTTGCAACTGTCCCTAAGGCAGGGGTGTTACTTCATCCATGGCGGAGGCAAAAGACCAAGTTGCTGATCCGGTTGGTGCCTGTGTGTAGTAGATGATGTAACAGGGGAAGCCACTGAGGAAAAATAATGCAGCACGTGGCAGCACCTTAAAGAGTAACACATTCATGACTGTACTACAGAAAGGAACTGTGATTCATGCATGTTTATGAGGGAGAAGAAAAAAGTGTTAGTCTTAAGATCTGAGAACACCCTTTGTTGCTTTTGTGGGGAAAATAATAATAATAGCACAGCTACTCTTTTGGAAACTAGGAAAGTACAGTATGTAATTTCTGATGACTGATTAGCATATAGCAGTGAAATCTTGTCCTACTTAAAAGTTTCTTTGGGATCTCTGACTGCTTACCAAGAGATGGGCTAGATAAAACAGAAATTTTGTTTGATCCCAACTACAACAGCCTGTAGTTCCCCACCCTTTTTTTTGGGGGGGGGGGCATGCTGACAACAATTTTTATGTAGCAACATGACTTACTGTTATCTGATCTATTTCCAACCGAAAAAAGGCTGTATCTACACACCTATAAAAAATGAGCATAAACACTGCTCCAGTGTTGTTATAATTGACAATGGAATAAAATAGAGTCTTAAAGAGATTGCCATTAATATGTGGTTTATATGGTAAAATCTATTAACCAAGGATAATCATAGTGGATGATCTTTTTTACAGCGGTATAAAACTGCATTACCTTGGCTTACTGTACTTATATCCTACAGCCTTGTGAAACAGACTGGGTTGAGAATGATTAGCTGGGTAGAGAGTGCCCAGTAAGCTTCACAGTTGAGTGGAATTTGAACTTGGCTTCAACACCTTAACTGTGACCCAACCCTGGTGGTTTAAGAGTTGTTCTGCATGACAACACTAAGGTGCTGCTTTCTAGTGCAAGACAGCAGAAAATAATGCCAGTTTAGGGAAGTTTGGACTGCATTTCCAACCCCTACTTTGTCTTGGCAACAGAACAGACCAGGTGTTTTATCCACACCAGAAGTAGAGAGGAGTATGGAACACGGGTAACTGGCTGGAGACGGGTCTGCTGGGATCATTCCCTGGGATTGGAGAACTGGAAACACAGAAGCTTTTCTCCATTTCTCCCTCTCTCTTCTCTTGCTGCCTGGTGGGGAAAAGGGAAAACAGCAAATATTTTTAGTTTCCTCTTACAGGGAAGAAAGTAGGATGAAAGTGCCATGGTAAAGCTACCCAGGGGTACTGGCAGAAGAACTCCAGGGACTGCTTTAATTTGGAAAAATTCACTCTGGGGCTTAAAACAGGTATTGTGTGGGCTCCCTGCTGAAGTTGCCTCTGACTTTTTCTATGAAAGAGTTATGGCCACAACTCTATGAAGAAACTGTGGGTCACTGCTGTTCTATAATGAAGCAACCCATGGTTTCCTTGAAGATCTGCTAGAAGATCTGGCAGTCATAGGAGAAGGACTATTAGAACAGACAGACCTGTGAAGAAGTCAATACAGAACTTTCTTAGCCCTGTGTGGAAGAAGTGTTTTGTACAGCAAACACTTTGCGGGTGGATTACTTGACCTGCGTCAGCTTAACATGAATCTGTGGTGTAAGTGGACCAATGACACATCAATCATGGCCTTCATGACTTCAGTGTGTGGATGTATCAAAATTGTTGGGTTGGGAGTAGATATCCCCCAGTTTCAAGAGCTGTTCTTGAAACATGTCATTGGTTCCTTTTTGACACATGCCCTATATCCAAACCCCTGCTGCTTCACTCTGTACAAATGTGCTAAAAACTTCTGCTTTAGTCCTGTCTATCCTGAGGTGGCAAGCAGTTGTACTGCGGGAGAGCACCCTGCAGGAATCTTCTGTGGAGGAAGGAGAATTGGATCTTTTTAATGCCAAGATAGCTGGCCTTGCAAAGTCTCCTCCTTTCCTGCATCCCATCAGTTAGGAAGAGAAGTGAGAAACATGGGTGTTTAGCTCAGCAGAAAACCTTGACTGTCTCACTGCCAAAAGGTAAATGACTCTGAAAACTAGAGGCTAGGGCATGGAAGGGAGAATGGCCAATAAAAACAAGGTAAGGTGCCTTTCTCTGAACTTTGCTTAGAATTATTTCCTAACCGCTTGGCTCTGCTTCTACCAATCAAAGTATAAAAATACTGTTTTTACAGAGAAGCAAGAAATGAATCGATGCAGGCTTCATGGGGGAGGACAATGCAATGCATTCCAGTTGAGAAATTGCACATGGGCAGTCCTTACCCCACAGCAAGCAGGGCAGATAAGCCCTAAGTATCTTTATGCTGTGGGCGTAGTACAGTTGATCTAAGATAATAAGTCAGGGATGATCAATCACTAATTCCTTCAGAGTATTTTGCTGCACAGTCTTAAAGTTAGTGAAACTCTCAAAATGTTTCTCTTTATATCAGAAAGTTCTGCAACAGGAATGAATGCAGGGAGGAAAAGCACGAAGGCATAGCTTCCTCAGTGAACCTTCCTAAGGACAGATTTGAAACACTTTTCTGAAGTAGAATGAAAACAGAATACCTAAAATACATTTGACGGGGGCAAGCTGTCTCGGTGCATTACCCAATAGCAATCCGCATGAATATTGTATATCGTATATGGCAGCCTTCTCAAATCTGGTATCAGGCAGATATATTGGTTTGTAGCATCTTTTGGTCATAGCCAACATAACCGAATGCCATGCTGATAGGAATGATATGCACTGTGGCCCAAGTCATATGGAAGATATGAGGCTAGGGGAGGTGAAATACAGAAACCCAAACAATTATATCAATGAAATTAGAACTATTCTTTTGGGACAGCCTCTGGAAACAAGTTATTTTTCTTTATGTACTGTGGCAAATTACTCAGATTTAGTAGGAAGGCCCCAGTTCTGATTCATGCTGTCCTTTCATGTATCTCCATTGGAGACCTTGGGTTACCACAATCTTTTGGCCTTCCTTATTTATGTGGCATGTTTATTTCAAAGACAAAGCACCATAGGATAATGCAATAAATTCCTTGAAGAAAGGACAAGGCAGATGTGCAATATACATGCCAGATTCTCCTGACTTTTGAGATAAAATTGGCTGTCACTTTCTCTGAGTATATCTTATATGATTCGTTTGATATATGATGAAGAGATTGACAACTAGGGAGATGGGTAGCTATTTAATAAAATGCTTTGCAATTATAAATATAGCAACATTATCCTATGCTGCAAGATGAACCCTGGTTCTTCAATTATTTCTAGGCTGGACAAATATCCATTGAGACTATCAATAGAACACGGTGCTTGCTTATACTGTTAATAGATTATTCCAATAACGTTGGGACAATCATACTGGATGCAAGTCATGTCCTGCAGATATACTCTATTTTTGTATTGAAGGCATCAGGATAATGCTTCCAAACATCAGATTAGCGCCAGATGTGATAGCAGATCTGCAAGAGATGCTGAAATACGAAATCATCACTGTCACATCATATTATCTGCTTTCATTCTAGAATGTGACAATGCCGCCTTATCTCAAGGAATGGTCTTGCACAGACATAGCCACACTGAATGTTCTCTAGAGTGATGATTCAGTCAAAATAAATGCATCATATTGCCCACTAAAATGGGCAAAATTGAGTCTTTAGTTACATATTTTAGAGATTGTTTAGCAGGGGTAATTGCAACCGGGAAAGGGATATTAAATTAGAGATTATCATACTGCACCCTTCTTAACTTCTGCCCTGCCTTTCACGCCCCTCAGACAGGGCTCGCAACTTGGGGGTCCTCCTGGATCCACAGCTGACTTTAGAACACCATTTGTCGGCTGTG